TCACAACATCTCATCATATACTGTAGTCTCTACATATCATCATATACTGTAGTCTCAACATCATATCATATACTGTAGTCTTAACATCTCATCTAGTCTCAACATCTTATCATATACTGTTGTCTCAACATCTCATTATATATTGTAGCATACTGTTGTCACAACACCTCATCATATACTGTAGTCCCTACATCTCATCATATACTGTAGCCTCTACATTTCATCATATACTGTTGTTTCAACATCTCATTAAATACTGTTGTCTCAACATCTCATCATATACTGTAGCCTCTACATTTCATCATATACTGTAGTCTCTACATCTCATCATATACTGTAGTCCTTATGTCTCATCATATACTGTAGTCTCTACATCTCATCATATAATGTAGTCTCAACATCTCATCATATACTGTAGTCTCAACATCTCATCATATACTGTACTGTAGTCTCAACATCTCATCATATACTGTAGCCTCTACATTTCATCATATACTGTAGTCTCTACATCTCATTATTTACTGCTGTAGTCTCTACATCTCATCATATAATGTAGTCTCAACATCTCATCATATACTGTAGTGTCAACATCTCATCATATACTGTAGTCTCAACATGTCATCATTTACTGTAGCCTCTACATTTCATCATATACTGTAGTCTCAACATCTCATCATATACTGTACTGTAGTCTCAACATCTCATCATATACTGTAGCCTCTACATTTCATCATAAACTGTAGTCTCTACATCTCATTATTTACTGCTGTAGTCTCTACATCTCATCATATAATGTAGTCTCAACATCTCATCATATACTGTAGTATCTACATCTCATCATATACTGTACTGTAGTCTCTACATCTCATCATATACTGTAGTCTTTACATCTCATCGTTTACTATAATCTTTACATCTCATCATTAACTGCTGTACTCTCTACATGTCATCATATACTGCTATAGTCTCTACATCTCATCATATACTGTAGTCTCTACATCTCATCATATACTGTAGTCTCTACATCTCATCATATACTGTAGTCCTTATGTCTCATCATATACTGCTGAAGTCTCTACATCTCATCATATACTGCTGTAGTCTCTACATCTCATCATGTACTGTAGTCTCAACATCTCATTATATACTGTAGTCTCAAAATCTCATCATATACTGTAGCCTCTACATTTCATCATTTACTGTAGTCTCAACATCTCATCATATACTGTAGTCTTAACATCTCATCATATACTGTAGTCTCAACATCTCATCATATACTCTAGTCTCAACATCTCATTATATACTGTAGCCACTACATTTGATCATTTACTGTAGTCTTAACATCTCATCATACACTGTAGTCTTTACATCTCATCATATACTGTAGTCTCAACATCTCATCATATATACTGTAGGCTTAACATCTCATTATATATTGTAGCCTCTACATTTCATCATATACTGTAGTCTCTACATCTCATCATATACTTTAGTCTCAACATCTCATCATATACTGTAGTCTTAACATCTCATTATATACTGTAGGCTCTACATTTCATCATTTACTGTAGTCTCTACATCTCATCATATATACTGTAGGCTCTACATTTCATCATATATTGTAGTCTCAACATCCCATCATATACTGAAGTCTCAACATCTCATCATATACTGTAGCCTCTACATTTCATCATATATTGTAGTCTCAACATCTCATCATACACTGTAGGCTCTATGTTTCTTCATACACTACTTTTGTCTTAACGTCTCACCAGGTAAATTGGTTCCATCATTTACATATAACAGACGTTTCCGTTATTGTTTTCTGTTTCTGTTTTATGAAGATACTGTATTTATTTTACAATTAAGTTCATTCATCTCAAAGAATACATGAATGAGTTCAGGCAAGCGACAAACGGAATGTTAAAACAGTTATCAGATAAACAGGAAATAGAAAAAGTACCTGTGTAACGTAAGAAAGAATTAATCGAAATTTAGACCTGGCTGCGGATGCTGCCATTTTTCTAAAACAAACGGTTCAAGCTGTAAGCCGAGAGATATAATGTACATTATATACAGTACTTGTACGATTTGATGATGACGACCACCATTATCACCACGATGATGATGATGATGATGATGATGATGATGATGATGATGATGATGATGATGATGATGGTGTTGATGATGATGGTGCTGGTGGTGGTGCTGGTGCTGGTGGTTACCACGGTGGTGGTGGTGCTGGTGCTGGTGGTTTCCACGGTGGTGGTGGTGATGGTGGTGGTGGTGGTGGTGGTGGTGGTGGTTACCACGGTGGTGGTGGTGGTGGTGGTGTGACGTCGAATATCCACTTATCCAATACAGTTTTTCAATTGTAAATATGTCTTTAAGATCTACCATATTATAAGTATACTTAAAACCTCTAGCGGGTATTTTCCTATCCTTTTTCGTATGATATAAACATACATCCATATCCAATTAAATATATAACAATTGAATTAATCCATAGTTACTCTTAACAGATGGTTATGTCTACAAAGTTCATTTTCATCTCGCCAAAATTCTAACTACTTTGTCTGTATGATAGCTATCGACAGTGTTATGAAACGTAGCTATTTTCTTGAGTGCCAGAGGTAATACTGTTTCGTCTTGACGAGAACGTTTTCAGAACGACTTCAACTTGCGCAAACTATTGGAAAATGAATTGAGTGTTTGAATGTTATACAACTTCAACAATGTCAAAACATGTAGAACTCTGAGGTGAGTAAGTAAATAGGTAGATGCCCTGATCAAACATTACTAGCGTGTGTACACTATCGGGGTTTAACTTACTGTGGTTTAAGTGTCTATGGATGTCATTGTAGCCGTAGACGTTTTTAACTCTTACCGATAGACGATATACTTCCGCACACAAAATGGAGGAAAACAAATAATTGTGACTGAATACCTGCGTAAATCACTATAATTTAATGGAAAAGTTTAACGAACAACATCATAAAATACAGCAAATACAAACTGAGCTTTTTTGTCTATTTTTGTATCATTTAGATTCAACAAAGTGTTACTACATTTTATATTTATAGTAGATATTTCGTAAATAGTTTAGAAATATCAGTAACTTATATATTGTCTTTGGGTAGTTATATATACATTGTCTTTGTGTTGTAATATATACCACACAGTGTTATGAAACGTAGCAACTTCTCGGGTGCCAGATGGAATAATGGTTCGTCTTGACGAAAATGTTTTTAAAACGACTTCAACTTTTCTATAGTATCATAGTATAGGATATATGAAGTCTTTATGTTTAGTAATTAATAGTATATTATTATGCTGACAATACATTGTCTTTGTGTAGTTTCATATATGCAATGTCTTGTTTATGTACATTCTACATCTATATCTCTTTTTCGTTATATGCATTGTTTCCATGAATTACAACTGTACATGATAACTATATATGTTTCGTATTAAATAATAAAGTAGTATGTACAGTATACCTGTACTGTATTAGATTCAATACCTATAGGAAATATTATATAACGTATCTGTGGTAAAATTAAAAACAATATTTGTTCCGTTCTAGAGGTTCCTTGTTGTATCCAAATTATTACTTTGAATGCCAACAAAAAATGAATTAATACTTAACATTGACGTGATATTATTGAAATACTCCACATTCCTTGTCAAAGTAGACGACATGAATAGGGACGATATACCCGAGTGTTCGGACAGATGTACTACAGAAGGTGACAGACAATCGTGATTTTACACTCTATATATTATAAATACTCAATTAAAGTCATGATTACCTTGCGCAAATATTGACACAGAGAAATAATATTTGCTGTGAAATTATTGCATGTGTGTTCGTTTTTCAGTACTATTTGACATCGTAGCAAAAAAACTTGTTTAATATATAAAGAATGTTTATGTAAACTTGGAATGACCAAAGAAGCAAGTAGTACTGACATACATTCTGTAAAGTTTTACAAGGGATTGAGTATACTATTGTATCAAAAATAAAAATAACTCTGTTCCAGCCCCGTCAGGTCAGCAAAGTTAGCTCTATACATACCCTGCGTATAATGAGTCGCCAAACGTCATAGTGTTCAATTGTCACTTGTTCATGACAAATATTGAAATAAGTATGGTCGCCTCAACTTCTTTTGATACAATGTTCATACAGAAATATATGTGTTTAAAACTAGATTATTGATTTTGACAAACTGTGAGTTGTTAGATGAACATGTGTATTTAAAATCCTAGTGGACATTTTTGTTCCATTTCAGACTAGTCCACTTCAGCTTGCATGACTCATTTGTCTCAGTTGTCGTTTAACTTCTAGAATTATCACAAACGATCCTGAAGAGAACGATGGCTTTATGACATAACATAAAAGAATATTGATTTCTGCTTTATTGTTTCACAAATGAAATCCTATTTGGTTGCAGTTTCAATGCCTCTAAACGAGTGTGAATTGGTACCAATTTACCACATGATCAACGGCCTTCCCTGTAGTTACTGATTATCTAATCAATGCCGATTGTCCTGTAAAACATCACTGGAGGCCTTTCGTTATGATGTTAAATATGTACATGCCTTGATTTAGTTCAAATGAAAGCTTTGATAATTTATCGATAAACAAGTTCTTTATCAAAGCACATCCAATGAACTGCTATGCTGACAATATCAAGCGGTGGACACTTTTCGAAGCTACTCACTAGATCTTTTATTCTGATGGTAAAAGCCTTGTTATCTTAATTTGTCTAGTGTTTGATAGTTTTTGTTATGCATGTACACAACATGATCCTAATATTCGTTAGGAACACGTGTATATTAGTGGTATTCGTATTACAATATCAAGTATTTGGTTTGTTTTATTCAACATGTTTTACCCGTCATTTGACATGGATTTCGGCAGACAAGTCCTATGGCTATGTTTGACACTATGATAAAAACCTGATACCGTATATAATTCTGTCTATTTGTATTTACAGTTCGTGATTGGTAAACGGGATATGTGAGGATCTGGAAACCTGGCCCAGGAAGTACTTATACCTGTTTTAGAATATCAAACCAGTCCTAGGAAGACCTAGTGAAGAATGAACTTTAAATCCATTAGCCCAAATTACGACTATTCCGTCAAATTAACTTCAATTATATAGCAACAAGGCTTCACAAAACATAAGGCAGGACCAGAACTACAGGTAGAAAGGACGAGTCAAGAGTTGTCACGTTTTCTGATTAGCACAAGTGTGTGCGTGTGTCCGGATTGGAAATACTTTGATACGATAGTAACGGCGTTAATCTTCCATCTGTATGGAGTAGATTTAAAAGCATATATGTGTTATAGTGATACGTTCTTTATCTCTTGCCACTATCTGGCCATACAACTGGATTCAATATCATTTTTGTCAAATTTGTGGGGAAATCAGCTGACGTTAGTGATTTGCTGGATCCATCCATAAGTTTTTCAGTATGGATGAAGGACGTCTTGGCATCGTTCGAAAGCGCGAAAATATTCACAGGAAATATGTTTACATCGTTAATGACGTGATCAAATCAAAATGGGGTGTCTTAGACGAACATATTGCAAGAGAAAAGATACAGCAATCGTTAGACTGGGAAAAATCAACTATGGCGGTCCGGCGAATTCTCATTCGTCAGAAAGTACTAAAACAATGTATGAAAATGAGGAGAGACGGCGTGGCAACCAAAGTTAAGGAGCGTAGGCTAGGGTATTACGGCGGGAAGTCAGTTAATGCCTTCACTCGTGACATCGACCATCAAATAGCAGAAAATCACCCTAGGCTTCGGAGATTGCGCAAAGTTAGAAAACAAATCCAGGAGAGTTTAGAAAATGGTAAAATTCTCAAACCTGTCGAAATGTCGAAAAGAATTACCAACTACTTTGAGAAACATTTCAAAGAGGAGAAGAAAGTTGAGAAACCGGTAAAAGACGAAGAAGACGACGACGATGTTCAGAAAAAAGACATTTTTAGCCGACATAGAGGCGCATTACCACCAATCCGAGGACTGGTTAACCCCTTTTACAAACTTGTGCGAGATGATGACGCTAAACCTAGTACAAATAGTGATCAAAACAATGGCCAGGAGACATTCGACCGTCTGGTCGTGGAAAGGGAACAGGGAAAACATGAAAAGGAAATAAACAAACACTCAGTGCTACCAACTATTCAGCAAAGTGGTGGGGGAACACCGACTTCTAGAACGGTCAGTCCTGAGAAATCAAACAAACTCCCGAAAGAGCAATCATTGCGACTAGAGAAAAAAGGCTCACTCATTCTTCCTCCAATTTCATTGACAAAGGAACTTTTAGGAAAAACAACACGTGCATAGCGGGTACGTGAGGAAATTGTGTTGCCTCCATCTTAGGCAAGTATCGTTAAGAACGCTTTCTCCAAACACAGTAGAGGGGAAATACTTCTGCAGAGCAGTAAGAGATAGTGTATATGTTATAATGTACAAAGGTATATTTATGAATGTATGTAATACAATGTCTTGGAGAGGACATGTCGATGCATGCTTGATGCTGTGGTCAGGTTAAGCACTGTTTATGTACATACCAATTCATCTATATTAATTATAACTATAAGCTGATATTCAACCGTTTTTTAAACACAATATCTTGTGAATGTTTGGACTTCTCTCGGAAACACCTTTTCACTATCGATTAATATTGCTGACATATACATATAAATCGGTTGATTAGAAATTTGATTTTCACAATTATTTTAATGAGTTCAATAAATGAAAAATGAAAAAATAACCGTTAATTATTTTTGTTGGATGATTCCAACATTGTTAATCTTACAGAGTATATTGTTCGTTCATATCGTTCTGTCAACATTTTCAACTTGTAAGTAACATTTCTAATCATATTTGAAATGTTCTTACATGTTGGAATCATCAGCATATACACGCGGATAAACAGCAAAGAAAATAGTATAACCAACGCTAACAAACATCAGATCCGTTTATTTCAGCAGTTGTACTTTTGCGGGAAATGTATCAAGTATTTCTGGATTTAAACCTGTGAAAACTACAACATATTAAAAAAAAACGGGTAAGAATCTTTGATTTTTGGTTCCAGATGGTTAATGATATGCAAGTATGTTCTGACAGTCCTATTTGTCCTATTATAGAAAATAAACCTCAACAATGCACATTTGTATCTGAAAATGTGCATTAAGGAATGAGCACGTTCATTATCTTCTATATTTTAGAGTTATTTTATAAATACAGTTTCCTATGAGTACAAAAAGGATCAGCTGTAAGCGGTGAACAATCTGTAATCACTGGAGTATCGATAGTCTGTTGAAACATATTTTCGCAGAACTAGTAGTGACGTTCGCCAAGTAATTCCTATTTATATTGTAAATGATATACGTATATCAGCGTTTACCAGTATTAAGGAAAGAAAGATTGGCATACTAATAAGAAAGCTTACAGAGGTTTGTTTTCGTTTAAGGATAATAAATAGTGTTCCGATGTCAAAAGAATAAGGGTTTTTGAGAAGTTCTAAAGAGTTATCTAAATCCACATTTGATTAATTTCGCTGTGTGAATATATCGTACAACAACCTGTTTTAAGTTTTTTTTTTTACTTGAGTAAGTACAGTAGTTTCAAGTTGGAAAGTTACTTAATTAAATAAATCAAAATGAGATTTTGCAGTTAACCATTATAAGTAAAAACTGTTCTTAATTATCCTTGATCCATATGCAGTAGAACAATAAGTTTGAATTGACGTTTAACAGTGGTAAGTGCGTTAGTTAAGAGTTGATATGGTAATTTGTTTGAATAAGCCCAAGATCCTCCAGTAAACCATTTTAACTAAGAACGTTTGCCAAGTAAATATGCAAAAGAGTCCTTTACTTTTGAAAACTAAAATGACTCTAGTACAAACGATTTCATGTAACAAGCTTATCTTCATCTTCGTACCAATCTGGAGATGAGTTTTTTTTTTTAAATAAACCTTTAAAATAAAATACACCAAAAATAACATGCTTATCCAGACAATTTAACCTTCATCGTGCCTTTTTTACGAGCTATCATTTCACCACAATCACGCTTTCTTATGTCAAAGTATTATCAGAGTCATAGATCTAGTGTTTCATGTGACTGATGCCTTTTTAAGTTATCCTTTTTCACCGTTTAAATACTTCAATACTGTGTAAAAATATACAAAATATTATTTTTATTCCTTTTAAAAGCTTCTTTCAACATCCTGTCAATGTCAAGAGCGCAAAATATACTCTCGCTGAAAAAACCTGGAGTATTAAATTAACCGTTCTAATCTAAAAGTTACAACTTTTAATCAGAAAGCTTATTTAGTGCCATTCGGAAAATCCTATACTTTCAATTTCTGATTTATATTTGCCGAACTCCTCTGATGTTATAGCTCTCATCGGCTCCCTTGGAGGGCCCATATCTAGCCCTATCATAGACATAATGGCCTTGAGCGCTGCGACATTTCCTCCCAAAATCGACCCTGTCAAGAAAATGTAAACTTAGGATTAACTCACATTGGTTTTACATTCTGAGTAGATAACTATATGGAGGCACGTGAAACAGCTTATGCTTTACTAAGCCCTTATGTTGATATATTCTATATCTTTTATTCTTTAAACTTCACTTACAAACCAGATTTCTCCGACATTTAATGAGTTAATCTTCTTCTAAAGCACAGTCAAAAGTCAGTTTGAGAATACCAAAAGCCGTCTACCATTTGTTGTTAATTACTACTTAAAACTTCGATCAGTAATGAGGGTGTTCCCGAAATCGCGCCACATCAAAAGTTATTCTTTACTAGTCTAAGAGGAAGCATACATTTTTTGTGTTGTTTCGTTTCTCAATAGTTATAGATGGTCATCTGCAAATTATGAAATGTCACAATTACTCTTATGCGGAAATTACGAACACATTGATTTTAAATATCCAGACGTATTGAAAGTTGAGAAAAGTTTATTTTACGTTCCTTTGACTTTACCAAATTAACGGTAACTATCGACAACTCTGATTGTCTAACTTAAATACCAACATACAGGTACTCATCGGTAACTCAAGTTGTCTAATTTTAATAACAACATACAGGTACTCATCGATAACTCAAAGTGTCTAATTTCAACATCAATTACAGGTAACCATCGACAGCTCTGAGTGCTAAATTTCAATAACAATCACTGGTAGCCATCCACAACTCTAAGTGATTTATTTCAATACTAAATTACAGGTAACCATCGACAGCTCTGAGTGTCTAATTTCAATAACAATTGCAGGTAACCATCGACAACTCTTAGTTTCTAATTTCAATAACAACGACTTTTCTGAGTGTCTTAAAGAATTTCACTTCAGTGAAATATATATTTCATTAAGATGAAATATTGTAAAATGTAAACAAATATATGTGTTAAGAAAAGAACAGCCGCCCTCATACTGTACAATGTGATAACGAATGGTATACAACGTAACCATAAAGTTTCATTTAAAAATGGCAATGACGTAGCATTTTATTGCAGGACATAAAATATAATTCATTTATCCATTTCTAATGTCATTGTTTGTCTACACATAGTGTAACCAATAAACAGAAGGTAGTTATGTTTATAACAAGAACTGCTCGTGTCAGTGACAATTCAAAAATGTCCGATGTGGTTACATTAAACGGGAGTTTGTGTATTATTATAAATCATGTACACTTTGACAGCTATATACCTGGTTTCATTTTACTGCAATATTTTATCTTTATAAATACAATAGTAAAGGTTAAAATTTGGCATTGAGTATATCCGAGCTAGGTTGGTAGAACGAACCGAGACATATGTTAAAGCATTTCCTGTTTGATGCACGCCACACCAGATGAAAATTAAACTGTCACGAGTACTTTCCCTTCCGATGTTATAAAATGGTAAATGCGGTGTTCTATCACACAGTAGGGGAAATAACTCCAACATTGAATGATAGGAAAGGTTTAACTATCTCATCAATGAGTGACTGCCAGTTCAATAATAAACGAATCAGGACAGCCATAATGATTCTCAATCGACATATGTTTTTGAAAACTCTTCACCAATATTTATTATTGTATCATATTATATTATAATTCTAGGAAAGTCCATGAGACCTAAATGGACGAATTGAACAGTTAATACAAATAATTTGTTTAATCTTTGTTTGGTTTCGGTATCGGTCATCGGATTTTTAAACAGAAGTTTTGTTACTTCGTACTTAAATAGGTTCTTATAAATCGTATCTCTAGTGATAATCGTATGTGTCTTATTGTTTGCCTATCAAAACCTAGTTTTTTTAACGTTTGATTATGTTGCAACTGTTTTGTATTGATAGTCATAACAGTTTTAATCACTGATCAATTTCACTATTTGCTCACCATAACGGTACACAATCCTACACAGACGTTGTCCCTGTATCTGTTCCTTCCTAGCACTATCGAAGTCCCCTTCCTTCAGCTGCTGTATCATCCTGTTATAAAGGTCTGGCATGAAGTTGTGTAGACTGCCTACAGCCCCGTGAGCTCCTGTCACCAGACCTGCCATCAGTTGCTGCAAGATAGTCAACGATATTGGTGTTGATTTGTTTGTTTGTTGTTTTGTTTTATTTATATATATATTTATGACGACTGGAACATGTTTTCAATTATAAGTAACATTCGCAATGGCAGATTAAATTATTATCGTTTTATGGTATGAAAAATACATTTGTTTTTGAAGCATCGAATTGGGTTAATTTAAACAATTCGTTGCTCATTTTATTGTTGGTTGTTCTTGTTTTGCATCATCTACTCTGCCCAAATATGGCAAAATAGTGCAAGATGTTTCAGAAAATATATTTATGTGTTGGATACATAAATTTGAAATCGAAAGTTCATGAAATATTAAAATGAAGTCGGACATGTTCAAAACTGAAATCGATATCCCTTATATATTTCTGTGACAAAAATTGAAATGTAAATAAAATAATGATAGTGCTAATAAGATATTAATAATTTTGATCAAATCTTTATTGACAAAAGTCAATTAAAACGCGTCATTTTGAATATCCCGTTTTAACTCTAATACCTATAATACCCAATTTTATATCAGATATGAGATCTTAACAAAGGTCTCAGTAGTTCTAATAAATTAATAAGGAATATATTGTACGAAGGCTTCCGAAACTTATTAAGAGTGTACTCTGCCTACCAACAGCATTAAGGGTTCTCGTGCTGAGTTATCTAGATTATAAAAAATATGTGTGTTTACACTATCTTTATCTTAAAAAGTATTCATAGTATTAGCATTGTTGTCTAAACCATTAAGAGAATCCATAGTTACGTTACATAAAACATTAAAACTGTTGGTAGTTAAGTTTCCTTAATCATTAAGAGCATTCATAGCAATGGTATCAATTAAAGGATTCCTAGTATTAGGATTGGTGACTTAATCATTGAAATTATTCATAGTTTCGTTCTCGAAATCATTGAGAGTATTCATAGTTATATTACCTGAATCAATTGAGTATTCATAATATTAGTAATGTTGTCTTAATCATTACGAGTATTCATAGTATGTTTCCTAAATCATTAAGAATTGTCATAATAATGTTACTTTACTCATTAAGGGTATTCATGATAATTGTACCTAAATTATTTAGAATATTAATAGTAATATGTTTGCAATGTTACCTTTATCATTTAGAGTATTCACAGTAATGTTACCAAATGCCATAATCAGTGAGAGCATTCATAGAAATGTTACCGTAATCACAGCGATAAGGCTACTTAAACCTTTATTAGAGAAGTTCTTTTTAAATCACCATCAGACTCAAACAAATCAGCTGGCCTACCTCGTCACAGCCGTACAACAAATTGTAGCGTCCCCCATCCACAAAGCTGCAACCAATCAAATCCACCAGGTCTTTATCAGAGAACTTCAGCCCGGCCATGTTGGGGATTTCGTCCTTAGCACGGTTAAGGAAGTCTTCCATGTTCACTGGGCAAATTAGTATAGAATTAAAACATGTTTTTGTTTCCGTCACAAATTATATCAATTTTGTAACGCAACTTATATACTACCGCCACGTAGGTATTTTTTGTTTTTTCATCATTCTTTTGATGTTTCTGTAACAGTCCAAGACTTCAGGTGACTTAATTATGAGCGCTTTATCGTAAGATCTAAGATTCTGTCTGGAAAATTTGTTCATTTCATTGTTAGCCCAAGGGTTTTGATGAAGTTAGAACTTAATAGTTTTGGAGGGACATGGGTTTCGATAACAGCTTTTTTGTTAAATGTTGAGATCAGTTTTCAAGATAGGATTGCAACAAGCCTTAACATCTAATTCACAAGGTGGCGCGTGCATGTAGTTTTATTTTGAAACATCCTAAGGTTGAAAAAAAAGGTTGAGTATCGAGAGCAGAATTCTTGAAAGATGTATAGCGGTAAGTTTTTAATCAATTTATAACATGAGCTAAACAACGTTGACATTACAGAATCTATTGAAGAACTTTTCATACAGGTGTTACTGTTAAAACGGAAATAATCTCAAGAAACTGAAAAATAGGTTTACTTTATTCTTCATTTACAATTAATCCTTTACTTACTTCAAATACTGATTAAATATTCTTGATTAACAGAATGAATTACTCACGATTTACGTGCGACATGATAGGGAGATGGTAATAATAGAATGGCAGGTGGGGAGCAGTATCGGCAACCGCCTTGCAATACCGCACCAGGGCATCTGAAAGAGAATGCAGTGAAATAGGCAAAATAACTTAAGTAACGACAAGCTAGTATTATTACAACATAGATGTTGTTGGACGTCGTTTCTTGGATTGAAACTCATTACCAAAGCGTCTTGGAAACCAAACAGACACGTATTGTATTGGGATTAGGATTGAAAAGGATACCGCTGCATTACCATCGCCTTTATATCGCGGAACGTTCCTCAAGATTTGCATGTTTATGTGAATGACACTGCTATAGCAGCAGCTAAGTATATCTTGCAACAATGGCTTGTGCATGAATATACATGTAGTTCATTGAGACTGTCTACATAATATTTGGTGTTTTGATGGGATAAACATGTCATTACTACATGTATACCTATGTTGGTTGGTTTAAAGAACAATGGCGGAAGTGTCGCTATGGCATCAGCTCCTGCTTGTTCAGCATGGCGAGTCTAAAAAAGCAACGCAACTCCCCATAATTGTCTTGAAACAATCGCCTGGGTCTTAATTTACAGAATTTGAATTAACGGACACACAAATTTAGTATCAAGTCAAAAATTATAGCTATACAATATTGTAAGTATTGTGTTGATATTTATTACATTTAGATGAAATCCAGGGCTTTCTAATTTTGGTACCTATTACAGTATTATAAGATAAAGAGTTCCATTATTCTCTCCGTTGAGCTTAAGATTCACCTTCAGTTATTTTTTTACTATCTGCTCATGATTTTGATTATTAATAGTGTCAGATCATTGTTTAGCACTCAAATTGTTTTACATAATAACTATATATAATATTGTGTTAAGCCATAATATTACCTTAATTGCGTGAAACCTTAATATAGCATTGCATGAAACCATAATATCAGATTCTGTGTAATACTACATTTTATGAACAGTAAAATTAACGGTTGTCCTACTCCACCTGCTTAGCTCTCGTGGAACATGTTTAATCTCGAGGAAACAAATGATCGTGTTTCCTTACAACAAGCGCAATCAATGCAGGATGCAGATTTTGTGAAATACTATATTGATATCACCTTACCAATTCAAGACTTTCTGTGAGGTTCATACACCCGACATGGACCATCACTGATAACCTGTTATAGAAAATTTTAGATAGAAAATGGAGCTATTCACATTTGTGTCTTCTTTTCAATGCTATCAAATGAAAGCAACATATCCAGTTAAAAAGATTGCATGAGTATTAACATTTCATGAAAACGGTTTATTTTTACTGGAGTTAGTTTATACAAAAAAATAATACATTGAAACTCATTCAAATCAATCGCATCTGGTAAATACTCTTTCGCATACAGAACAAGTTGATCAAAGTTCTATCTAGACCAGACCTTATTTTAATTATTTGTTTATATGATACTGAATGTTATAAATACCGTTATATCAGGTTAAGTTACACATACAAAATAAAATGCAAGATGAGAAATCTGATAAGAAATATGATACCTCTTTTTTGATACCTCGATCCATTTCTCAACAACCATCTTACGTTCCTGTAAAGTTAAGGAGTTCCCTTCCCCCGTGGTACCATTGACTGTAAAAACATGTAAATACAAAATGAATAATAACTGTATTAAATAAGAGCATGATAAAGAGATTCGTAAGATTGCGTCACATTAAAATGATATCATTACTGTAGGTATACCCTGCCTTGGTGAAACATACTTCTTTGAATGTTTCAAGTTGAAGAGGAATTGCGAAAGCTATGATGAGGACGTGGGAAGTTTATATGGAGACATGAAATAAACAGTTTTCTTGGTACGTGTTGGTATGCCATGGCATATATTGTTTAAAGTCTTCATCAGGCTGCATCTTTGGAGACCCTGTGTTGTAACTTTACCGGACAGAAGTCGACATTTTCACGGAAGTCATAACATTTAGAGCGAACGCCTGAATGCATAACAAACGTCGACATGAAAACACCGTAGGTTTGGTATGCAGGGATGTAATAATCAAGAAAGGGACAGTTCACGATCGGAAATAGAAATCGTCCAGCTAGTCGTACTGTTAAGTAGTAAGCATATTGGTCGTGTAAAAGGTAAATATCGGGGATAGCGACTGTAGTAGAAGAGTCGGCAGTATTTAGGATATCAATAAGATCAGTGTTTATAAACATCGTAAATTATCAAGAATGGCGAACATTAGTCCCCGACGTTGGCCGCAGCCTTGCAGCAAGAGTTTATTCGAGTGTTAATTACATAAAATACTAGATTCAGTTTAAATACCGTACGCTATAAAGGGGTTCGTAAATATATTTCCCTTCCTGCTATATCATATACATGTTTTTGGAACAATTAAGACAAAGATGATCTTTCAATATCTTTTATCTTAAGTACCACCGATTAGTCCTAAATAGACTTAAAGTCTGTATGGGAGAATAAGATGTTTTCTTTGTTTGGAATTCTGCATCAACAGTCAAACTCTAAAATAGGTGCTTCCTTCGTTCGTATAGCAAGTGAATATCTTAGAAGAATATAGTCAGATAGTCAGAATGAGATTCATCAGTGTAGTATTAGTAATAAATGCTTAGTTTGTTTTGAACACATACAGTAACGGAACACTTATTTTCCGAGCTTTTGAAAACGTTTTTTCCCTTTGTTAAGCAAAGAGTGCAAACAATTGTTTTGGTTCTTTGCTTGACAAAGGAAACAGACGTTTTCGAAACTTTACAAAATTGATTTCCAATTACTGTTTGTGTTCAAAACAAACTTAACATTTAGAATATACAGTCTTGATACGAAAAAGCTTTTTTTCTAGTTGAATAATATGTCAATAGATAGATTTGTTTCTTTCGCCGTTGTTTGTTCAATAAATAAAACGGTTTGCACAATAAAAAACTAAACAATAAAAAAATGCATACCATATATATAACGGACATTATGCTTCAACAGATGGTCACAATATGGCTCGATCTTGGATAAGTCCAACTGCCTACAAAAATAATACATAGCTCTTAGTAATAAGGTGTGTAAAGGACACTATCCTGTATAGTACATAGTGTTTTGGTGTGTAATATGATAAAGTAGTTCATAGTTCGTATTAGTGTAGTATGAAATAAAACAATGTGAAACATATTTTTAGTAGTATTGTTTGAAATAGTACAACATATCACATTGTTCGTAGTGCTGTTGTGTGTACTATAGCAAGGTGGTACATATTTCGTAGTGCTGTTGTGTGTACTATACGGTACATAGTTCGTAGTACTGTTGTGTGTAATATAATAGTGTTATACATAGTACTGTCGTGTGTAACTATACGGTACATAGTTCGTGGTACTGTTGTGTGTACAATAGCAAGGTGGTACATATTTTGTAGTTCTGTTGTGTGTAATATAAGTGTTGTACATAGTTCGTAGTACTGTTGTGTGTACAATAGCAAGGTGGTACATATTTCGTAGTACTGTTGTGTGTAATATAAGTGTTGTACATAGTTCGTGGTACTGTTGTGTGTACAATAGCAAGGTGGTACATATTTTGTAGTTCTGTTGTGTGTAATATAAGTGTTGTACATAGTTCGTAGTACTGTTGTGTGTACAATAGCAAGGTGGTACATATTTCGTAGTACTGTTGTGTGTAATATAAGTGTTGTACATAGTTCGTGGTACTGTTGTGTGTACAATAGCAAGGTGGTACATATTTTGTAGTTCTGTTGTGTGTAATATAAGTGTTGTACATAGTTCGTAGTACTGTTGTGTGTACAATAGCAAGGTGGTAATATTTTGTAGTTCTGTTGTGTGTAATATAAGTGTTGTACATAGTTCGTGGTACTGTTGTGTGTACAATAGCAAGGTGGTACATATTTTGTAGTTCTGTTGTGTGTAATATAAGTGTTGTACATAGTTCGTAGTACTGTTGTGTGTACAATAGCAAGGTGGTAATATTTTGTAGTTCTGTTGTGTGTAATATAAGTGTTGTACAAAGTTCGTAGTACTGTTGTGTGTAATAAAACAGTGTTGTACATAGTACTGTCGTGTGTAACTATACGGTACATAGTTCGTGGTACTGTTGTGTGTAATAAAACAGTGTTGTACATAGTTCGTATCATTGTTGTGTGTACAATAGCAAGGGGGTACATATTTCGTAGTGCTGTTGTGTGTAACTATACGGTACCTAGTTAGATGTACTGTTGAGTGTAATATAACAATGTTATACATAGTTCGTTGTTCTGTTGTGTATAATATAACACTGGGAACATAATTCGTAGTTCTGTTGTGTGTTATATGACATTGTGGTACATAGGTCGTAGAAATGTTGTGTGTAACAATATGATATATGGTTCGTAGTACTGTTGTGACACTGTGGTGCGTAGTTCGTAGTACTGTTGTGTGTACGATAACAAGGTGGTACCTAGGTCCTTGTTCTGTTGTGTGCAATATAACAATGTGGTACATAGTTCGTAGTACTGTTGTGTGTAACAAAGTGGTACATAATTAGTAGTACTGCTGTGTGTAATAGTGTGGTACATTGCTCGTAGTACTGTTGTGTGTTATATTAATTAGGTATACATAGTCACCTATCAGCGTTTGGGTGATAAATTAAATCAGGTTCGGATGTTTCTTTACATAACAGAGAATTCGTCATGACTTGCGTAAGAACATTGAATTTGGATATTATATTGTTAATGTTAAGAAAAGCGTTCTTATCCTTAGTATACACATTTAGAATATCCAATGTGACTATAGATCGTTTTACCTATTTTCGTCAAATGGAGTAAAGACAGCAGCTGCTAATCCTTCCACCCAGTAATCTGTTGTCTAAAGACAATAAGGATAAATCATATTCACAACTCATTTGTACATTTCATGATAATACTAATTTATCATTTACCGTAAGTTGTATTTCTTTCCCCCCAATGTAGTCCTATAACATCTGTTGTATTTCCTTGACCTGATACTGTCATATCGCTGTACTTGAGGTGCTATATGTCTACCTGTTTATCTGAGAATTCCTCTCGTATACCTTATCTGTGTACGATATAGAGGGTCGACACATTTCTTTACATAACCTGAATTTTATAGCAAGTGTCTTATAATATATAACCCCTGCTTCGTTTTGTACTTTCCTCATTCTATCATGACATCCGGATGTATATCTGTAAATAATTCGACCAGGTATTGCCTGTCTGTGTTGATTATGCATCTGAAGGCAATACATCATTATTGCTTCACCATAGTTTTATTTATATTTCAGTTTCATTATAAGCATTATAACTACTGTCTTGTCACAATAATGACGAACTAGTGACGAGCTCTCAACGCAAATGTAAATACACTATATACTAGATGTATTTACACCTGCAGAGAAAATTATTACAAGAGAATACACAATCTACCAGCAGTTTTTACACCTGTAGCGAAAATGATTACAAGAGAAAACATTATTCACTAGCAGTTTGAAACCTGTAGCGAAAATGATTACAAGAGAAAACATCATTTACTAGCAATTTGAAACCTGTAGCGAAAATGATTACAAGAGAAAACATTATTTACCAGCAGTTTTTACACCTGTAGCGAAAATAATTACAAGAGAATACACTATTTACCAGCAGTTTCGAAACCTGTAGCGAAAATGATTACAAGAGAAAACATTATTGACCAGCAGTTGTTACACCTGTAGCGAAAATGATTACAAGAGAAAACATCATTTACTAGCAGTTTGAAACCTGTAGCGAAAATGATTACAAGAGAAAACAGTATTTACCAGCAGTTAGAAACCTGTAGCGAAAATGATTACAAGATAATACACTATTTACCAGCAGTTTTTACACCTGTAGCGAAAATGATTACAAGAGAAAACATTATTTTCCAGCAGTTTTTACACCTGTAGCGAAAATGATTACAAGAGAAAGCATCATTTACTAGCAGTTTGAAACCTGTAGCTAAAATGATTACAAGAGAACACACGATCTACCAGCAGTTTTTGAACCTGTAGCGAAATGATAACAAGAGAATACACTATTTTCCAGTAGTTTTTACACCTGTAGCGAAAATGATTACAAGAGAAAACATTTACCAGCAGTTTTGAAACCTGTAGCGAAAATGATTACAAGAGAATACACTTTTTACCAGCAGTTTTGAAACCTGTAGCGAAAATGATTAAAAGAGAATACACTATTTACCAGCAGTTTTGAAACCTGTAGCGAAAATGATTACAAGAGAACACACGATCTACCAGCAGTTTTTGAACCTGTAGCGAAATGATAACAAGAGAATACACTATTTTTCAGTAGTTTTTACACCTGTAGCGAAAATGATTACAAGAGAAAACATCATTTACTAGCAGTTTGAAACCTGTAGCGAAAATGATTACAAGAGAACACACGATCTACCAGCAGTTTTTAAACCTGTAGCGAAATGATAACAAGAGAATACACTATTTTTCAGTAGTTTTTACACCTGTAGCGAAAATGATTACAAGAGAAAACATTTACCAGCTGTTTTGAAACCTGTAGCGAAAATGATTACACGAGAATACACTTTTTACCAGCAGTTGTTACACCTGTAGCGAAAATGATTACAAGAGAAAACATTATTTACTAGCAGTTTGAAACCTGTAGCGAAAATGATTACAAGAGAAAACATTACTCACTAGCAGTTTGAAACCTGTAGCGAAAAAGATTACAAGAGAAAACATTATTTACCAGCAGTTTGAAACCTGTAGCGAAAATGATTACAAGAGAATACACTATTTACCAGCAGTTTTGATACCTGCAGCGAAAATGATTACAAGAGAAAACATTATTTACTAGCAATTTGAAACCTGTAGCGAAAATAATTACAAGAGAAAACATTATTTACCAGCAGTTTTTACACCTGTAGCGAAAATGATTACAAGAGAATACAATATTTACCAGCAGTTTTTACACCTATGGCGAACATGATAACCAGAGAATACACTATTTTCCAGCAGTTTCGAAACCTGTAGCAAAAATGTTTACAAGAGAATAACAAAATGTGTCAACAATCAGCAAGAATTAAATCGAGGCCTTTCAAAATTTACAGAGCATACGACCACGTGCTCCGGAAGGGTAAGCATTTTTGCGTCATCGACGACGACACCAGCTATGTACCTTTTCACTTAAAATGGTTAAGTTAACTTTAGTCATGAATTGGTTTGTTTTTATCTTCAGTCGTATCTTTTATTTATTTATACCTGCATCCTGTCACATTACTGACTTGAATTTTGTATATCAATGTATATACTGAATCTGTTTACACAAGATGACCTGCATACAGAAAGATAACTTAAGTGAATCAACATCCCATATGTCAACAGATACGGTAACAAATATGATTGTATTAAGCTATTTTGAATGACAAGCCATTTGTAATATATCGACATCGAGCATATCTATAGCTTTCCAACTTACCTTAGCCATGGTCAGGTCGTATGTACACCTGCTGATAGTGTAGATAGTATATTTCACCTCACTACATGAATTTCGCGATAGTAGTGTCAGCATAACTTAGGTTATGTATTGTCATATTTTTACATATACTGCAGCCGAACTGGCCTGGGTCGGTCGTCACTCAAGGTAGCTCTAGTGGTTTTAAGCGTCCATCTAAATTTCGGAGGTCCCAGGCTGGAATCCCGGTCTGGTTGTGCGTATGTCCCCTCCTGTTGCATAGGTGCCTGTGACAAACCCCAGTTTCAAGTACAGGGTGTACGCTTGGCAATGGGATGCCCGAGCTTTTATTGTAAATAGTGACTCCTTAAAGGTAGAAAACTTGGATAGGGAAGAAGTAATGTAACGGCACTGGAATTGGTCGACAAGGTAGCTCAGATGGTTGAGCGTCCGTGTAGATTTCGGAGGCACCAAGAAATAATCCCAGTTTTGACTTGCATTTTTCACTTCCTGTTACAGTGGTGCCCTTGACTAACCCAATGCTTGGCAAGGGTATACCCTAACCTTGGTTGTAAATAGTGGTGTCTGCAGGGGCGGAGACTTGGGAAAAGGAGGGGAACTATTGCGGAACTGGACTGGATCGATCACCGGCGATATATTTTCTCCTGTTACAATAACAATTTAATGTAATACCGGCTTACTATCTTACACAAACCTACACATTCCTTTTATTTTCTAATCTTTGCACGACAGCAATCAGTCGTTCATGTGTCTACATTTAAATACCATTCATCTTGATGATATATCATGTCATCGTATAATCAGGTAACATTTAACATTTTATAGTTAACACTGTTTCATAAATATATATATCTATTCCCTGGTTAATCTCACCCAAATTTTCAAAGACAGGCTTTTGGTAGAATAACGAAAATGATGAAAAGATATTAACTATCTAAGTTTTGTAATTATGTTCAGGAGATATGACTATGAAAACGAAGAAATGTTGGAATAAATGGTGTCTTAAACGTTTACGTTGTAATTATGAAAAGGTTCTATGAGGTAGATAGTGTCTTCTCGGGGAAATTAACAAATCAAGGAGCCGACATGACTAAAGCATGGCGGCATAAAATAAATTTGTTTTCATATTTCGTCACCAATGTATTTCGACAAGTGGAATTTCACAATACATCACTGAATTTAACGGTCGATATTGATATCGCCCCATTCATTGCTTACACAGGGAGTTAAGTAAAGAGTTGTGTAGGCTAAACGGTAGATAACTAACGTATTTAAGATAGCTATGTCGACCTAAGGGTGTTATATAAGACACAATGTGTGATAAGAACCTCAACGAAAATTAACAGATATAAGTGTGAATTACAATTAAATTATTTAGGATCGGATCACTTATATGTACTCAACAAGTAAAATGCATAATAACCTAATCGAAATTTTTGCTAATTATGTCGTTCAAAATGTATGGAAAAATACCGTAAAGTCCGATTAATCGATAGGATGTTATCTAGATGAAATACACTGGTGTTTCACAATAACAAATCCAGATGTTTACTGTGTATGTGATTAATTGTCATTCGTACAGATTTTGTCGTACGCCCGGACGTCCGAACTATTGGAAAAGTGGTTTGTTTACAGTCTTTGGACACGTTATCAATAACAAGACATGGCATATTTAGGAAGTATTGGAGTGTTTTACATAATGCTATATATCAGTGGGAGCTATCCACAGCGTATTACACATGTCAACGGTAGCAGTTATCAAAGAGGGTATCTTAGTTCGAATGTCTATAATTTATCTAGTAATGTGAAACCTACAGGTAATCGCACACAGGAAACTATGTCTTCAGCTGTAACACCGCTACCTGTTAGTGTCAATAACATGGTGTCTAGTGCCAATAACAGCGTGTCTACGGCTGTCAAACACTCTTCAACTTCAACACCTGTGGTTACTAACAGAACTAAAGTGCAGTTTTCAACGCTTGTAAATTCGAATATGTACAGTAAAATACTTCCTTCAGGAGTACTACGGAATGGAACTTCAAATATAATTGGAACCGAATTTCACAATGCGCTACCATTACCCGTGGGTATTAAACTTTACAGAGGTGACTCGCACAATATGACGATAATCAGTGTAAGTAAGCCTGGGCAAAACACCACAGCAACCTTGTCACATGTCCCATCAGTGTTTCAGTCAAACTTCAATAATCTTTTCCAAAATACTCTACAAGGAAACGAAATCCAAACACAGTTAAGCCACTTTATCAACACGAGCAATGTTACTCTGCCTATTCCAATTGTTGTACAGGACAACCTTGAAAAGGTCATTGATGCTTTGCTGTTACATGCTGAAGGCAACGATACCGCTTTTTTGCAACTCCTGTTTGGCAGTCAGAGCGGTTTGTCGCTCCCACCGGAAATGTTAAAGAAACTAGGCAGGTTATATGGAAATAAAGAAGATATAAATTTCAATGTTATTCTTTCTCATCTTACAAATGGCCAGAAGAAGTTATTTTCCAACTTTATAATTCAACAATTTTCTCCTGTCTCTACCGTTTGTTGGAATCACCTTCTTGAGCTGACAAATGACAACGCCACAGCTTTTAAAAGTAAGTATAATACAACATATAATGTAAAACGATTTGAGAAAATTGATTCAGATTATCTAAGTTCAGGTGTGTCACACCAATCATTATTTGTTTTCAGAGTTGAAACTAAATGATATTTATGATCACATTCGTAATATTAACTAATAGACTAGTTTACAACCATTAGTTTTTATTGTGAATGATCATATTCCCATTTGTACATATACATGTATATCATTTTAAATATTTATTTGCTATTGATTATTATCATTGCAATGTTATCGGAGTTTAATAAACATTACAAGCTCGGCGGGTAGTCTAGTAAAGTCAAATATTTTTATCTAAAGTGGCATTGATGCCTTAAATATTTATACTTTTGTACATTTAAGTGATAGACGCCTCTGGTAAAATCCCTACTGCAATACTGCAGGGGAACTTGAAATGGACTGGCTCTTTTGACGAGTGTATGTCATCAAGAGGCATGGGACATGGTCCTAGGACATTTGATGGAAAGTACTGTACCGCAACACTTTCTCTAGATGAACTCCTGGTAAGCAAATATAATAAATCGCTTCTTAAAAGATTTGTTTTTTTATCAAGTTTTGTCAATAGTCAAAAGAGGCAACAATAAATAGCTCACCTTTCAATGCAGGGTAACGATAGTAAAGGTTAAAAGTGGCTTGGCTTATGATGTTTTATTAAAACATGGCGTCATGTGGATTTTGACATAATGGTATTGCTGCTCAGTTTGTTAAAATTCACCAGGATATTTTGTTACCAACGTTTCTTTATTTTCTACTGACGAGAATTGTACTTTACTTATCAATAAACAAACCAAATGATTATTTGACAAAGTATACTTACATGTGTCGAAGAAACTACCCGATACCTTAATACCTCGAGGTTATTTCCTAATAATTTGATACCTTCAGTAAAATAATAAAAATTCTGAATAATCAGTTCATATCATTATACCTCGACTTACGTCAAAACAATTTCCTTGGACGATTATTATTTGAATTTAGTTATTCAATTTCCTCTGCAGCCACCACCATTGCAAGTGAATGCAGAGATGGGCCTATGTGTTCCTGACACGTGTAACAAATATGAGATTAAGCTTATCACGGATATATGTAGGTATACTGATATACAAAGGATAGTGATCACACGTTCAGAGCAGTAAGGATGGCAGTTGAGTGAAATTGCATGTAGACTTATATTTATGATATCGTGAGACTGTGATACCTGTGTATATATTTTGTATGATAAAAACTAAAAGTGCCAAACTCATTCAATCAAAAACAAAAGATCATGACAAGAGATATTATAATATTAACACATTAAAACAATAGACGTTTAAATAGGAATTGCAAAATACATTGCAAATCACTTGTTCATCGACACAAAAATAGTTTTATTCAGGGAAGCAGTCTTATGTACTGTTGTGTTATATACCAGTGTTCAAAAGGAAAAATAATATGTTCAGCTTCTGAGAAACAGGCTATCGAAATATTATAGAATAATGCGTGCATACATGGTATATTGTCTTAGTGTTGGGACTGGTGGCGCTCGGGAATGCTTCTCTATACAGCACTGCTATGGTATGTCAGGAGCCTGCAGAATACGACACTCTATCAGTGGCTGCCATGTAAGTAATCGTCTCACCAAATCACCAAATCAAGTTGTTGACATGTTTATTAGTTTTTTTTATATTTATTTTCTCCCAAATATATACTGTACTCTCTCTGACCTATTTAAGCAACTGAGGGTATTTATCTCTTACCAATGGTTTCCTATCAAACAGTTCCTATAGGGCTTTGAACAGTGTCTTTTTGTGTTTAGCAATCTATTTTTAAAGTCAGATCATAGCCGTTCAAAATTACAAAATACAATATACCATATTAATCGATAAGAAAATGATATGACAGATAGATTATGTCTGAAGCTCCGTATGTATTACATAATACCACGGACTTAGATATCTAATCTAATTCCGTGATAATACATATAATAAAAGGACAAGCCAAAACATAAAACCTATTTCTATGTTTTTTCTTTATAGCATGTTTTTCGCGAGTTTTGGCCTGTTCATACTCTTTGCTACGGTAATGGACATAAAATATACTAACGATATGAAGATGGAAATGAAGGCAGGAGTGAATGGGGAGCCAGCCATTGCCGATATCCATGAAAGCGGAAACGACGCACCTCCAGTCATAAAAACAGGTAATATGTCGTGTCTTGAAAGGAATAATGATTATATAACTTTTGAATCGTAATTCAAATTTACCTTTACAGCGCAAGTATACATTCTTTGTTAATACATTACGTGTGTTACAGGAATCAGAGCGCGGCTGTTGGTTTCATTTTCTTTGTATACAAACGGTCGAAAGTTGCTCAGTAGTAGACGACAAAGAGCGGACAAATTCGAAGCAGTGAACGGTATTCGTTTCCTTAGCATGGCATGGGTCATCCTAGGACACACGTTCCTACATATTACGTCTAGCGGCATTATGGGTAAGTATTTTGTAATAGGCTCTTTTCTTGTTACATGGGTATAAGTCTTTAAATCTAAATTTGTTTCAAATTCTATGAAATGAGATGTCCGTCTTGAAAAGACTTATATTCATAAGACAACATGTACCACATAGAGTCCTCAACGATTCTCTGAAGACGTGACACCCTTATAGAGATTAACACTGTGTCACAAGTGCATGTTTAATTTCTGTGTTTGGTTTTCACTTCTATACAGCATATTAGCCTACATTCAATCATTTCTGATTAGATTGTGAGAGGACTCTCTTGTTTAACATTACTGACAAATCCGTGTTATTGTGGTTCAATTAATGAATGCATAGTTCAAAAATGATCACAATGACAGTGGGCCCTATTATCACAATGACAGTGGGCCCTATTATCACAATGACAGTGGACCCTATATTATCACAATGACAGTAAGCCCTATCTTATAAACGCACTCATTCATCTTATGTTTCAGAGAATCGGCTAACATTTGTACCCGCTGTTTTACACCAAGTGTCAGCAGGAGTTATAGTGAACAGTCTTCTCTCCGTGGATACGTTCTTTACACTAAGGTGAAGGCATCTTAACAACACATGGAATCACTACACGTAGTTAACTAACTTCTAGGAAAGTTCATTAGAAGCTGAAGCTTTAGTATTTCCGTTTGTAACTTTAAATAATGGCAATTACTTTTTGAATAAATAAGGTTCAATAAGCAAAAAACAAGATGATCAGATGTGTATTATTTATTTTATTATAATAAAGCAAATCATATCATAACGCAATAAGAAACCTAGAGTATACTGGTTACTGTGTGAAAACGGTTGCTACTGTGTAAGAGATTTTGTTACTTTGTAATAGTGGTTGTTACTACATGTATGTATTAGTGGTTGTTACTATGTATTAGTGGTTGCTACTATGTATTAGTGGTTGTTACTATGTATTAGTGGTTGTTACTATGTATTAGTGGTTGTTACTATATATTAGTGGTTGTTACTATGTATTAGTGGTTATTACTATGTATTAGTGGTTGTTACTATGTATTAGTGGTTGTTACTATGTATAAGTGGTTGTTACTATGTATTAGTGGTTGTTATTATGTATAAGTGGTTGTTACTATGTTAAAGAGGATGTTACTATGTAATAGTTGTTGTTGTTTTGTTGTAATTATAGTTACTGTATCAAAGTGGTGGTTACATTGTATTAGTGATTGTTATTGTGTCATAGTTATGGGAATGTGTTATTATGTTCGTTATTTTGTTAAAGTGATATTTGATGTGTCAAATTCATTTTACTATCTCCTAGTGGTCTGCTACTATCCTACGTCTTTATGAAGGAAATGAAGAGACAGGACGGGAAAATCAACTGGTTCATGTACTACTTACATCGGTTCTGGAGGTATATTATGTATTTCATATTTTTACTGTTTCGTATATTATATGTCTAATGTCTGTTTTTGTATTAAAACATGCTTAAATACTTAATATATTTCAATCCTACTCTCTCTCGCAGACTGACACCGCCCTATATGCTAGTGATGTTTATGTACGTAGCGCTAATGCGATATACCGGAGATGGTCCGTTTTGGCCAAAAAATGGACATGAAAAGGACTTTTGTGCAAAAACATGGTGGAGAAATCTTCTTTACATCAACAATTTTGTTGATAGTTTCAATTCGGTAAGTGCAATAACAAGTCAGTATAGTGTCCGGATGTTCTGGTTATTTTAGTGGTTTCGTATATGGTACATGCAATAAACAATGCACTCTTTATATTGCCAGAACAATGTTGCAATATAAAACGAGTGTTCATTTCTAAGAATATATAAAAAATAAAATCATATTTATTACAAGTAACATATGGTTTATTAGCATACAGAATATTGCTTTATCACAATTTGATAGAATGTGGTGACTAAAACATCATCATTTTTGCTTTGTAACGGCCGCTGTTAACATTCAGAATAGTTTATATTTATTCGATATATCCGACTGTATAGACTTGTATCGCAAAACACACACAATATGACGTAGAACATTACACTTAGTATAAGGTATAGCAATTAAACTCAAATTGACAGTGTATGGTGCTGTATTTGTGAAGTTGCTATTGTATGGTGTTATGTGAAGTAACGTTGACATTTTATTGTACTATTATTTAACTGTTGTGTTGACCGTGGATGGTGCTATACCTATGATTTTTTGTTGACAGTGGATGGTGTTTTACCTGTTTTGTTGACAGTGGATGGTGTTTTACCTGTTTTGTTGACAGTGGATGATGTTTTACCTGTTTTGTTGACAGTGGATGGTGCTATACCTATGATTTTTTGTTGACAGTGGATGGTGTTTTACCTATGTTTTGTTGACAGTGGATGGTGTTTTACCTATGTTTTGTTGACAGTGTATGGTGTGGACGTGGTACCTCGCCAACGACATGCAATTTTACCTTATCAGTCCACTACTTCTTGTACCATTATACTTGTGAGTACCTCATTAAAAATAATCGGGGAATCCCTGAAATCACTTTTATTGTTTTCATTGTCCCTGGATGTCATTCATATAGTTCTACTTCAGAAAATATACATATCATGCAAAACAAGTAAAAAGCAGCGTTAGAGGCAACCAATGACTTATACCACGGACTTAGATAACATCTAATCTAATTCCGTGCTTATACTGATGCTTGATATTTGCAATTTGCATGTTTGAAGATGTGTTCATGCGGGATAATGTTATCAAATATTGTTTTTTACAAACATCCGACATAATGTATACGTTATTTACAGCTCCCGCCGACACGGTGGATTGGTGTGCGGCGTGTTCCTTCTTGGTACCACTATAACGTCATACGTTGTGTCATATCAACTGGACCTGTCAGCTGTAATGTTTAATGCCAATTCAACGTATGTATACTACATTATACAAACATAGAAGACAGTTAAATTGTCTATTATGCACCACATGCTATCTGCTATCATTTAAGGTATAAAGACGAAAATATTACAGTTTTGTGATTTTTTTTAAGACAATGAATATTCTAAAGTGAGTTAAAAATATGTCACAGGTTAGATATCGATTCAATTGTAAATTTTGTGTGCAAATATTAATTCTGTAATGTGTTAATGTCATCCCTCCCTCACGAATTTCACTAAAAAATTATCCCTTTTTATAAACTCAAATTGCCTGGTACAGTGTCCGTCACTGTTGATATTCTCTTCTTTACCACATTACAGGTCTACTACAAACGAGGACAACTATTTCCCGTATTACTTTGTACGACCATATTGTCGGATGGGGCCGTACATCGTCGGTATCGTGGCGGGTTACATCCTTTATGTAAACGAAGGAAACTACAAATTAAGTAAGGTAGGATTCAACGGCATGTGGTGCTCTGAAGTAAAGTAATGGATTTTATCACGAGTAAGAGATAGTGGAAGTTAAAGTATGTATCAATAAAGCAAAGACACTGTGCTAGGATTAGGGAAAAGTGCGAATATTTGACCATGCATGCCATCCTCGATATCGCGATGAAATATTTGTTTAGTGTTATCCTCATTCATTGTAGGGTTTGAACATGTTATTGTGGTTCCTAATGACGGTGACTGGATCCGTGGTGACGTATGGTGTGTACGGACCGGCGACTGGTACAAACTGGGACCCCAGTATAGCAGCTCTCTATAACGCCACACATCGGACAGTTTGGGGGGTGTGCGTGTCCTGGGTCGTCGTTGCTTGCGTCACAGGCTATGGAGGTAACGCCTTTCTCAACTTTCTTTCAATTTGAGTTTTAACTAGACAAATCTATACCTTTGACATGATGCATTATGTTATTATGTACATGTAGGTATGCTTCTTAATGTTTAGAACTACTAATATCTAGAATCCGTGGTAAATATCAATGAGGACGGGATCTGTCTTTTTAGTGTTTTTTTTTATTCATTAGCATTATGAAACAATATTTATCTTTTGAATTATGAGTCCAATTGATCTTTTCATTATTGAACCAGATTTCTTATGAACTCTTCTGGAAAGGGGAATGCATTGTAATGCAAGTTTCGCGTAAAACCAATCGACATGGTAAAGAAATTGTAAATATTATTATCAATATATTTTGATTGTGTTCCTTAGTGTTCTTAATTAATGCGCAATAATGACTTATTAATGTACATAATTCTTTATTTACAATTATTTTTAACTGACATAAATTATTTGCTAGTTTTTGATATTTCGGATTTTTTAAATCAACATATTGACTTTTTGTATCTTTCATTTATACAAACGGTACATGTTTTTTTGAGCAGGGTTTATAAACACGTTACTGTCCTGGAAGGCGTTTATACCTCTAGGGCGCCTGACCTACTGTGTGTACCTGGTACATCCCTTGCTCCTGTTCTACTTTACCGCCACCATGCGTCACACCATCTACGTCACAAATTACACGCTGGTACGTCTCTTTGTTGGCTTGTTATAAAATATCTGTATAGGTATTGCATTTAACGGCAATAACTACAACAAGTAGTACCGTACATGTTACGAGTAATCAAAGCCTGTACACGGTCTGTGTCGAGCTCAATCTGATTAAAATCATCTGTTACATGGCTCCACCTGGTTCAGGCGTAGTACGAATTTTAAGTTGACGAAGCCATGTAACGGATGATTTTAATCAGATTGTGTCGAGCTTAGCGAATCAATAATGTGAAACGGTTGCAGAAAAGGGCAAAATAGTATAGAAATGGAGAACATGAATATCCGAACTGTTGGAAATGGTATAGCAGATCAATGATTTTATAATCCATGCCCTCTTAGCAGAAGAAAATAACGTTTTAGTAGGTCAGTATATATGTCACTACATACGATTATGCTATATATAGCAGTTTTCTTAATTTATCCAAAGTAGGTCAAAATGACCGGTCACCTTTACATGTGATCAGAATACAAGTTTACAATAACCTTAGTCGTAAATGAAAATATTATCATTATATTGTCAAATAAAAGTGTTGCTGTTTTTGCTTGTTGTAGATCTACATCTTCCTGGGAACGCTGACATTATCAAACATGCTTGCTTTTCTGACATCGTTGGTATTCGAGGCTCCCATGAAAGAACTAGAAAATATCATATTCAAACGCAAACGCAAATAGACTCGTTCTTGTTTTATAACCTGATTGGATAATTACATAACGAAATGTGAATACTATTCAGTCATAAATCATAAATATTTTATCGGACACGGAATTGCGCCCCATAGGGTTAGTACAAGACTGGACAAAATCTTATACATCTTCAAAAAAGATCGGAAGAGTTAAATAAATGTATATCGACGTTGCGATTATAACACAACAGGACGCAGTTACCATCCAAAGCTAGCACTGCTTTGTTACAAATACTGGATGTGGACATTTTTTCAATAAACAAACACCTATTTTTGTAGATAAAAGTATTGGCATGACTCCCGACAGAGTAAGTCAGTCAAACATATGAAGTCGCGTGAGGAGTCATTGTCGGGAGGGGTTAACTAATCAACTGGCAATCATTTCATAGTGACGTGGGTCCGTGTTTAGCCCATTTGTTTGGCTATTTTAGCTGTTACTGGGATCAAGGACGCTGTCCGGATTCTGGCTTGACGCAAGCCCGAGATTATCCTGGCCCTGACACCAGACTTTGACATTTTGACACCAGACCTACATGTATATCTGTCAAAATGTCTCTTTCTGATTCGCCTCCCTCCCGTCTTGGTTGCTGTGATTGGCTCAGGTTCTGCGATGACGTGGAAACTAGCGTTTTGAATTTCGACATACACAAACGTGTCCACCATCGAATTCTTCAGATAACTGTCTAATCCTGTGTCTACCAAGGTGTTCCATTTCTGCCCAAACCAGCATGCAAGTTGTTTGGTATTTTAGAATCCAACCATAAATAAAAGTGAAGCTTGAAAATTATGTCCGGTCAAACAAAATCCTCTATCCACGCGAAAAGGGAGCATGAAAACAGACAGTGCGTTTGACTGGATACCTTCGGGAATCAACTGCTAAAGATAAAATTGCAGCAAAACACATACAAGGAAGAATATCCGGTATTTCTTTGATATTCCAAGAACATTTTCACCGAAAATATCAAATGCATATCTTTTTTCATAAATACTTCATATATATATATATCAGTATAAAATGAGTGTACATGTAGAAAAATCGTTTTGTCCAATGGAACTAAACAATCCCATATCCACACTTCTGATATTATCATTCTCTTTCTCCCAGCGTTTTCTTTTATATTTTCATAACATTTTTAATCAGTTTATGCTCCCTCTTGTTCTTATAATATGCTTCTTGTGCAATAATAATCAATTACATCAATTCTATATATTATATACTCTTTCTCCCATTACACATTTCCCTCTCTGTCTCAATTAAACTTATAAAACTACTGATATATCTCTTTTGTCTCTTTTTCTCTATCTCTGCTTAATTTCCATTTTCTTCTGTTCTATTGTCTTATCAAACTGGCTAGTATATCTAGGGTCAAGCAGCATGTTCCGGGGTCAAATTGTGGGTTGGCTGAAGATGAGACTATATATAGCTATAGATAAGTTCATGTCTCGCTCATTTCATATAAGATATTTAACAAGTTGTGATTGATTATCATTTATATCGACTAGATTGAGTTTATTCTATGAGCTCCATTTGATCAAGAACATTATTTGAAAAGATCATTTGAAATTTACTCAGTTGGATAACAACATCATTTCTTATGAGCTGAAAGTCTGGTTTATACCATGATTATTATTTAAGATTTTGTTTTGCTTATTCTTAACACAAGATTTGACTTTCGATGATAGAAAAAAACGTTCTTCAATACCGGATGTTATAACGCAGACATAACATTGCAAAATATTTTGACATAACATTGCAAAATTATAAACAAAAACCAATGAGACGAAAGTAATGATACAGTACATATTACAGTAATGGGATAAATACTCACAACACAGCTTTTCACAATTTTTCTTAATATAATATATATATACATGACATGCTTCATTCTATCATTTGACTTCTGCAATACAATAAAAGTATACATGCATACAAAATAATCCATTTCTTCTCTCTCAATCATACACAATGGCATGTCTCTGTACAGGACAGTGAATTCTTCCATTATAGAATTACATCTTATTATCTGCCTCTATAACTCATACCTGTCTTAGTAATACATAAATAATATGTCTCTTCTCTTTCTCATTAAGACAGATTAAAATGTCTTTCTGTAAACGATATTAATTTAATATGTAATATAGTTACTCAAGTACTTACAAATTATATTTCACTAAATTATAAATACATCTCTATTTCCAATATTTTCTGTCTTCTTGTGTTCCCCCTACGTATAGTGGTGTTATTCAGTCTTTGCGTATTGCAAAATTAACTGCTCTTATGAGCAGGTATTGATTGTTATGTCATTGGTTTATGAGAGTAACTGGTTTGTGAGAACGACGTAATTTTCTCACACAAACCAATGACGTAACAATCAATACCTGCTCACAAGAGAAGATAACTCTGCAATATGAAAAGACGGAATACTTCCTCACTGATTCTGATCTATTCTGGCAACAAATTTTGATTCCTGCAATGCAGGTCTCATCATGCATATTGGTTAATGTAGCAATGCAAGATTAGGTAATCTAATTAACCATATACAGCTATTGTTGAAATCATTTTTAAAGGTTTCTAAAGCTTGTTTTCAGTTATATCATAATATTTTCAACTTTCAAAGTATATCATTTCTGTTTCTGATTCTAATATATCTTAAGAGTCTCTAAATCTCATGTTTTATGTGTCACAGTTTGCTTTTCTTCATTGAACTTTAATGGAATTTTCCCCGCTGAAGCATACTGAGGTGTAGCTGCACCAATCACATTTATCTGTGGCAAGCTGGTAACCATGGATACAGGAGCAATCACACAGCTTACTGTTGACAGGGTGTTCATCTAAAACAAAATAATTACCAAATATAGTTGTTGCTCTATAAAATTCACTTCATAGAAATACCATCCCAACCTTTTTAACGTTTCCGAAAAACAGGAGAGATGTTGTACAGCTTGTATTGCTAACCTATTTCTTTTGTTGCATTTAATCTAACCAGACAAGACGTTGAGCTGTTTCTGCTAATGTCAGACCATAGTGGCCCTTTCAGATTTCTTGTGACTCATTGCAAATAATTCAATTAATAACACTTGGTCAAGCAATTAGGGCAATGACAGGAAAAACAATGAAAACAGATCATGAAGAATTCTAGATACATGTATAAAGTAAAGAATGTTTGAATAAAACACGTTTAGGATAGAAAGCATTTTTCTGATCAATTTCGAATACCGTTCTTGAACACAAATTGAAACTGATCAGCCAAACAGATAACAGGATATCTATCTTTGATTATGAATTAGTTTTGAAAAATAACTGTCCTCTTTAATTATACAAATTGGAAGCCCCTTTGCCCAGAAATGCTTCTAACTCGTTAGGCTTTTTGAAGCCATGAACAAAGATCATGAAGGGCCTACATACCGTACATGAAATGCAAGAAAGATCTGTGCATACCTTCCTGAGAAATAGTGATAAAAATTATCAACTGTTAAATTGATTCTAGGCTTTGATAAGTTCCCAGACTGAGTATGTACAACTATGAACCACATGGAGAACCAGTTTGTAAAATTTGAGAAAGCTCTTTGTACCACTTTCTGAAAAATATTGATAACAAACTTCAAAAGTCAAACTCAAAAAAGCTGCCTGCAGAAAGCCATATTCTTCTGATGCTTCTCAAAATGAAACATCAACAACTGAGAACTAATCAAGGGGAACCTATATAATATCAAATTTGAAAACCTCCATGCTGATTTCTTACAAAATATGGATAACAAGAAATGTTTAAGAACAGATTGAATGGACATCTATATATGACAATGTTAATTTAAACACCATCTGATGATGGTGGGTTTATATAAATAATCATCTGCACTGAAGTAGTAGCTCTTTTAAAGATTTTAGGTAACTGCTCTCAATGTACAAGTTGTAGCAGAAGTATTATTTTAACACCAAGTATTGCACTAAATTATGATTGCGCTGGTTGAAGTTCCCATATACAATGTATTGCTTTCTATTACATATTTTGTGGATACAGAAGTGATGCTCTAATCTGTTAAAATTTGATAGTGTACTAAAATCAGTATATGCTTACAGTACCTGTTATGCTATATAGAATAGATATCTGTTATATGTACTTACAGATGTATTCCCCCATTTTTAGTCTTCGCATGTCTGTATACAGAGAGAAAGCAGCCGAGAGGTCACAAAGGTAACGATGGTGTCTGACATAGTCGTGTAGTGTACTCTGGTTCTGTACAAACTACCAAGTTCCTGCTCCGCTTTCCTTTGGAGATCTAGCTCCACACAGGAACTGAAGACACCATTCCTTAGGCAGCATGAGCGTGATGTCGTTGATAAGTGTGCAGAGATCCTTAAAATAACCTCAACCCACACATTTTTCTCCATGCCGTTCCATGGTACCTAGAAACCTTTGCAATATTTTCTCTTACATGAATGCATCGCTCTGGCTTCAACCTTTAATACACCCTCACAGGTCCAAGCAGGAGTCAATTCCATGGTGGTGTTTCCCAGCTGAAAAACTCAAAGTCCACACTGGCGAGCATAAACAGAAAGTCTCCCTTGATAAGATTTTTATTACAGATATTTCTTTAAATTGGTTTTGAACACACTATCAAAACTCTTTAAAAATATCACCTTGAAATATAGCCAGTTTGAGCACCATACCACAATGTGTTAGGTGAGCCGACGTCCAGTTGTTTTTTGTTTTCTTTACATTCACCTTCATGATCCTCCAAAACAAACAACCCTATCTAAGGTCTTCACCTTCTTCTTCTTTGTGGTAAGATAATGTTCCTCAACAGAATTATCCGATACTGATTGAGATTTTCGTTTTAGTCTCCTTGTTTTGAGTTCTACATTTGTTGATATGCCATCAGGATCAAAATCACTATCACTGTCAGAATATCTGACTTCTTCTGAATCTGTATTGGAGCTTGAACCATCATCTTTTGTAACTTCACTATCATAACTGTTTGATTTGTTTTTCTGATTGTGCATTTTTTTACCTGTAGATGCCTCTGTGCTAGCACCGACAATCGGGTTCCTTTCTTTTGAGCGTTGAACTTTTACAGAGGATGTAGTTTTAATGGCAGTTACTCTCTGAAACAGAACAAAACAAAGTTGCAGTGAATAAAGGATAATATGTTTATTTTGTATTAATTAATTTCCATTTGCAATGAAGCTCTTACACAAGCTTGAGTTTCCTCTGGCCCAGACACCCGACTTAGACATTTTGACAGACAGATGTCTGGTGTAGCCTGAGTTTCCTCTGGCCCAGACACCCAACTTAGACATTTTGACAGACAGATGTCTGGTGTAGCTTGAGTTTCCTCTGGCCCAGACACCCAACTTAGACTTTTTGACAGACAGATGTCTGGTGTAGCCTGAGTTTCCTCTGGCCCAGACACCCAACTTAGACTTTTTGACAGACAGATGTCTGGTGTAGCCTGAGTTTCCTCTGGCCCAGACACCCAACTTAGACTTTTTGACAGACAGATGTCTGGTGTAGCCTGAGTTTCCTCTGGCCCAGACACCCAACTTAGACATTTTGACAGACAGATGTCTGGTGTAGCCGGAGTTTCCTCTGGCCCCGACACCCGACTTAGACATTTTGACAGACAGATGTCTGGTGTAGCTCGAGTTTCCTCTGGCCTAGACACCCGACTTAGACATTTTGAAAGATAGATGTCTGGTGTTGGGGCCCCACAAACGACATCTATAGATATCTGTCAAAATGTCTAAGTCTGGTGTCAGGGCCAGAGGAAACTCAGGCTACACTTACAATAGGTATAACAATGAAATGATCCTTGGTTAATATTTTATCTAGTGTAAAAAATAATCATTACACTGTACTTTGTTGTTTAATCATTTACTGTTTATTGACCAATTGGAAAACAGTACTGTGAAAAATCCTTGATAAATTATGACATTATATTTTTTAAATGGCCTAGAGCAATCCTGCTTGACAAGGCATTGACATAAAGTTCAAAATTTGCATGTCTATCCCAAATTTGTTCTACTCAGAGTGATTTTCCTTGGGATTTTTCATGCAAAATTTGTACTTGTGAAAAATATCCAAGCATTTAAACCACTTGGTGACTATTCATCAACGTCAAGACATTTGATAATTATACTCTACCACCAACAACCTCAGCTCCTCTACAGAGAATGGTTTTATGTCTAAAAATCAATTGGTAATAACGCAGCAATAGAAACCATGTTAGTGGTACAACTACGTTTTTCTCGCACATCAGACAGGGATATCACACGTCATACCATGCTATATTTTTCTATCTCGTACGATCTGTCTGGTTCCTTTATACGTGACATTTCGCGGAAGTTTTACACTGCCATGTATTCATCCGCGCGTTAAAGGCTTGAAATTGACAATCTGCATTATAGATATTCTGATTTGTCGTTATGTGTATTGTTTTGATGTTGATAGTTACCTGATGTTGCAGATAAAATATAATCTACACTAGCTATACTGTGAAATATATTGTCTTCTTTGTAAGGACGGACTTCATTTTTACGCGGAAGCATTCAAATGTAGCTTTAGTAGTGTAGAGGCCATTTTTAATTGAAGCCCAAGACGGCATTGTTGTAGTCTTTAGCAATAAGATTGAATGGTTTTTTTCTAAATAAAAGGTGCGAGAAAAAACAAACAATTACCTGTAACTGATCATGAGCCAGACCGGGTAATCTCAGTCTCGGGCTAAGATTCTGTAACATCCTAACCGAGGCACAAAATTTATGTACAGAATCTTAGCCCGAGACTGAGATAACCTGCATGATCTCGCTCAGTTATAATTACAGATAATATATTTTATTATTCTCACAAGATACCTGTACAGCCTTTTCTAGGCAATTCTACCTGAAGTTTTCCTCGGAGAGTAGTATATTGCATTGTTGACATATCAAATTCAAAAACAAAATATCAGGAAAAAATCAGGAAAATACTATTGAAATTTTACAGTTTTGTTTCACATGTTTGTAAAATAAATAACAAAATTATGTAACATGTGCTAAAAAAAAGTCTTGATAACTCATATTTATTGCTCTGCACTTGGAGCTTGTTCACGTCTTCAAAATCAAAATTATCCAATTAATGGTTAGCATGCATATCACCAACAGAAAGACAATACTGTGTTGTTAATTTTCACCTATTTACACTACCTACCTCTTTAGCATAAATTTTTCCATTTTTGCCTTTCTCAAAAACTACATTTCCTTTCAATAGTTCAACAAATGATATTCTTCCTCTCTTCCTCAGTCTCTCACTGCGGAAACATTTGACCGTGTCGCTGGATTCCACATTCACTTTTTTTGGAGAGGGATTAATGTCTTTATTGGCAGCATCAACAGGCTTGGATGCTTTGTGTTTCTTCGTAGTTTTATTTTTGTCTGAGGTTGATAGTGACGGTTTCAGAATTTGTGGTCTATGTATTTCATCATCATCTTCATCATTGTCATCGTCGTCGTCAGCATCATCACCGCTACTACAGTACAAGTTTAGAACTATATCATCAGCCTCTAATCCACTAGTATGATAACTAGTATCTGGACTAACTTGATTAGTTTTGTTGACCTTGTTATCGAGTTCTTCTTCTGATTCAGGCTCACTTTTTATGCCTTCAAACTTTAGCTGTGTTATGTTACAATCTGAATGTGCTACCTGCTCAAAGTTGGAAGGCTGCAAAACACTGTTAGTACTCAGCACAGGTAAACACTTTCCTGGAGAAGTTCTTGATGAACTGACCTTGGGAGAGATCATAGTGACTTGACTATTATCTTTAGTCAGAGGTAAAACTTTCGAAGCACTTCCAGTCACTGTAGATGGAACAATGCAACCCCCTGTAACCACAGATTTTGGCCCGATACCTGTATTTGGAAGGACTAACAGCGGCTTCCCACCTGTTTTAGGGAAAAACATCCAATGCATGTTGACACCTGGTTGGCCTGGTGCTGCATTCTGTGTTTGTAAACTCAGAAACTGTTGTTTTTCTGGTATTTGTGCCAGCTGTGATTTCTGTATTTCATGACTGTTTTGTACCTGTTGTAGATTTTTCACCTGCGGTAATATTTGTATCTGTGAATGTTGATGACTTTGAGTCCGTTGCGCAGTCTGTATCAGACCATGATGAAATGCAGAAGATCTGTCAAAGAAAAAAAATAGTGAATTTCAATGTTAAATACAGTATGCACATATTTGTGTAACTGAACATCTAAAACTTGTACAAGTTTTATTGTTTGAATATTTCACACATGTACATGTACAAACAGTTACTGTCCCAATGAATTTATAAGTCTGTTCTACAACGATCAATCAATATATGGAGTTTTGCTTAAGTTTCATTTTGATAATAGCCTGAGTTTCCTCTGGACCTGACACATGACTTAGACATTTTGACAGTTAGATGTCTGGTGTGGGTCCCCCACACCAGACATCTTTCTGCCAAAATGTCCAATTCTGGTGTCAGGGTCAGAGAAAACTTGGGCCAATTTTGATATAGCATGAAAAACAATGACACACAATTTAAAATGTATAGAGAATTTACTCAGATGTTGTTAAAAAAATGAACTATCAATTTCTTAAAATGATGAAATGTTCAGATCAAAAATCAAAATCATTATACAATTGTTTAACATTTTCCATGAGTTACAGTCTCCATCTTCTAGATCAAATACATGTATCTTGATCATTATTTAATCAAGAAGGCTACTTTCCTTTTTTTAAATTGACACACTATCCATGATGATAGAGTAATACAATGTAAACTGATTCATTCAGCCTTATTGAAGGCAACACATTATAATTTGACCTTTGAACTATATAAATGGGCCCAGGAATGATTAAAAGTGTTACAGCAAAAATAAAACAGAGGCCCAGAGAATCTGAATTATTCAACTAGATATTATTTAAGCAATCGTGGATAATTATTCTGAGTCTCATAAGATATTCTGCTTTGGCTCTATCTTTCAGCAACACCCTAATCTTATTAGGGTCCCATTAGTATTAATATACCTGGCTTCCCCTGCCCCGGCCAGGTATTAAATCGATCCCATGTCTCGTAATGAAGCAATCCCAGGGTTAATCACAGCGGGCAGATTTTAGCATTAATTAACAGCAAATGGGTCTGCATCAATACACTGGTTTGTGATATGAACTATAACTATTGATCTCCTTCAGATTAAGTGGAGTCTGCCTAAAAAGTCGTTGAATAACTGTATCAAGTTCACACAGAGACTGTAATCGAAGGCTGAAATAACCACCATGTTGGAAACTATGTCTCTCTACCAATATTCGAGCAAATTAATATTTGTGACATCAAAACTTATGTTTCTAAAAATGTTAGTCTAGTGGAACATATAACTTCAGAGGTTTACCTTATTGAAGATTAAGAAGTTTGTTTTGATGAGCTAGAGCAAGATATACACAACATAGTTCCTGTTGCATATAGTACTTCAAGCAGATTTAATGGCTTATTTTACTTAAGATATACACAAATATAAAACAGCTCAAGATATAAAATATGTTTGCAATTCTCTTTGTTTGGTTCTTGACAGAACAGCAATATAATATATATAAATATCATATTATATAAAATCTTACTTCAAGTTAGGCTGTAAAGCTGCTGAAGCTGGAGGACTGGACTTGGAGTCTGTAATGTCTGGAACTGTAGTTTTCATTCTTGATAACACTTCCCAGTCTTCCAATTGTCTTTCCAATATTGGTAGGTCTTCATAGTCATCCTCAATAGATCTTCATAAATAAAATACAATATAAACAAGATTTTAACATCACATATGTGTAATATACCACACATAATACATTGGAGGATTTTTAAAAATGCTTCTTTCTATCATTTCTGATTGGTATGCAACATAGCACTTTGATTTACACTTAGATGTCAATACATGTACCAAGCTGTTTTGACCTTGTGGAGATGTTATTGATGGTCAATATGCATCTTTGATAAAAGGAAACGTCTCAGAAACATTTATTAATAATCTTACAAAATTAAATTGAACATTCCTCTTTTAGATGATTAGAATCTACAGTTGGTTCTTTGCTGTTTCCGTCATACCTGGTAACTATAAACAGCCTGGCTCAAGCCAACAGTCTAATAAGATACCATTCAATCCTTACGTTTACATTCAGAACAAGAAGAAAACAAAAGAAAACTGTGTTCCAAATTAATGGGTCTTTCTTTTCTGTTCACGATACATTTTATGCTTTACTAATAAAAAATCATGGAACAGACATATTTGCAGAAATGAAGTGATGTTTTCTATGCATGGCTTCCAGTCTGGTCAGGCAGCAAACCTCTATCAGAAATCATTCAGGAGTTAATGTCACAGTTTGAATTTTAGAAAAGACATCATTGGTCCTGATTACTCTACTAAAATGATGAAAAGATTCTGTTTTCAAATGAAAAACAATCCTGTGAAATAGTTCTTGTAGAACTTTAGGTAATCCGGTTTTTCAATTTATACTGACATTAAGCAGTACTAGTTGTGAGTGTTGAGTGCAGTCACGTGATAAAATAGGGTTTGCTGGTCATGTGCCAGGTACATTATGTGATTGAATGCACCTAATATTAAACACCCTGATGGCCATGTTAAAGAATAGAGTGTTCGTCTGCTGCCATAATTGCTAGCCTTAATGATATTGTGAATGATTACCGACTTTAAATGTTGATTTCTTCACAACTGTTTGTCATGATCATGTTGTCAAGTTTTAACAGAGGCGTGTTTCCCCTGGATACGTGCCACATCTGCGACAACACACCAGAGGTGGTATGCAGATTATTTGAAGAAAAAGTAACAAAGCAGTTGTTTCGTACCTTATCAGTCAACAGTCAAACTATTTTCCTATGTAGTTTTTGGGATCCAGTAGAGAAACTGTGTTCGGAGGCCATAAGTGGGGAGAAACAGTGTCCTAGGGCCATAAGTGGGGAGAAACAGTTCCTCTGCTGGGTTCCACACTCCTCAGAAAAATAGTTGGACTGTCGACTGATAAGGTACGAAACAACTGTACACTGATATTAGTTTACAAATTAATTTTTCTATAAATATTTATTATGAAAATTCATATGTTTTTTCTTTGGAAGAAGTCATGTTGTTTTACTATATGGTTTTGAGGTCAAGGTCTGGTGAATGGTGAGATGTATATATATATATATGTACTGTAAACATGTGCACGCAACATGTAATTAAATCATGATTTTACCAAATCTTTTCAATGAACTTAGCCAAGTAAAGTTGGTATATAAATTTCTGGTAATAATGTAATAGATCACACACTCCTCTTCCTCTTTGGGAACTGGTGAAGCATCTTTCTCAGGAAGTTCTGTAAATGAACCGTCCTCTAGATATATTCCATTGGTTGAAGACCAGCTAAAATGGACAAAAGGTATTTGGTATCAGCAAAAAATCGCGCAACATACATATGATACAGGCCCATCTCGCTCCTGTCACAAAAGCAACATTAGTTTTTGTTTGAAATTTTACTTCATGACTTTATAAACATGTTTTAACCAAATTAATAGCATGCATAAACAATATGTATATATAGTACAATGCAACTTTACTGTCTTCTTTCTACTACACACTATATATTTTATACTTTGATTTTACAATGAAATGGTTTTATGTGGCAGGGAAAATTCTGAAATTTTATAGCAGTGGGACGTATTCAGCCATTTTTGGTTGATCTCAAAATTAAGAGGGGCCAAATCATCTTTTTCTTCTGTATATCAAAGTAATTCTTAAAAAGTTCGCCAGTCAAAAATTTCATTTAGTTTGTTTGTTAGTGAAAACCCTGTTGATTCATCCTTTTATACATGCATGTGTAACACAGAAAAGAGAATAGTGTGCTCCCACTGGGGATCAAGCTAAAGGGAACGCCCCTCTAGCGTTAAGCTAGAAGGCAACTGTAATCCTGCGTACAATTATAATATGCCATGTACACTTCTCCCCTCACTACCCCCTCGCCTCTGTGGGCGAGTGATTGAGTGAAACACCACAACAACCCAGGTTCTAATTATAAATACAAATAACTCCCGGTCACCACAGGAAGAGCCAATTTAGACTCCAATAATGAAACAGAAAAATTCTGTTTTTTCATTGGAGATCAAACCTGCAATCCCCAGCTTCTTAGAAAGCCGCTTCATCGATCTAACTAAAGGAAATTTTGAATTCCCAGTAAATTGTGCAAATCTAGAAGGTGACTATTAATCCTTCATATCTTTAATGTTCAATTAAAATTTGCCATAATCTTAAAAAAATGAACAGTATATATATATACACTTATAACGTAGCCGAAACAACATCAAATTTATTGCCAACTCGACATAATTTACACCTTTGTACAAATGCTTCACTTAATTTGTCTAATGAAGGGGATAAGGTATACATGTACCGTACTTAGTACAAGTATTGTAGCTACAGTATAGTCATTAAAACGTGTACATCATACATAAAAACTCACTGCTTACATGTGCTACATATACAATCTTTACATGTACACTACATATCATTCTTACCAAACTGAAAAAATGTTTTGGAAAATAACAGGTGAAGAAATAAGTAAACAATTTCTTTGTATAGTTGTAATTTAAAGAGGATGCTATATACATGCAGAAACTAATATACTACTGACTTTATATGTATCTGGCTATATATTAGTTACTTACGGCACACTATGTATTCTATTTCAATATACATGTATATATGAACTAACAGGTTCAATTTCACAATGGAAGGGAAACTACTAAGCTAAATTTAGCTTTCACAATGGTTTGGCACGCTTACAAATGAATACCTATTGTGATTAGAGTCACTAGAGTGACTTACGTTTATTTTGCTTTTTACTTTACTTTAATTTATCTGAGTATTTTATTCCTCTTCTTTGTCCTACGGGGGCTCCATCAATTTGATGTTTATGACCTCGGGGGTCCTGTTGCAGAGGTGTGAAAAAGGGGATTATTTACAGTGATTAGGGTGGGATTTTTGTGATTTTTTTGTGCAAGGTATTTGATAAAAAGATAAATCTGGCGTATGTTTAGCGTGTGATGAGGGGTTCAAGGGCTGTGTAGGGTAAGTGTGTCTTGAAGTCCTCTAGTGTTGTGCAGTGTACTGCTGCTATGGGAAGGAGATTCCATTGTGTTATTGTCTGTGGAATCTCCTTCCCATAACAGCAGTACAATGCACAACACATGTACAATGAATATTTGTAGGTGTCCTTTGTAGCAGATATGTGTTTGTATGCGTGAGAGTGTGCATGTCTGGTGCAAGCGTCTACGGGTGTGAGTATATGAGTTGGGTTTAAAGCTACGATTTTGTGTATGATTTTGTAAAAAAGGATAATTCTTGTTTAGCTGCACCATGTTTGTAGTGTTGGCCATTGTAGTGTGTGGATCATATCTATTACGGAACTAGTGTTGTGGTATGTTTTGTACGTAGCGTACTGCTCTTCATTTTGTTTTTTCTATTTGTTTAATTTGGTTTGTGTTGTGTAGATCCCGAATGGAAGAGCAGTATTCAAGTTTTGGCCTGACTGTAGTGCTTTGTATGCATGTTCTTTTATATGTGGTGAGTTTATTTTAAGTTGCGTTTAAGAAAACCTAAGGACCTATTGGCATTGGCTGTGATGTTATTAATATTTTTGTCACATCGTAGGTTATTTTTTAAGTGTTTGCTTGATTCTGCTTGGTGTAATGTGTGGTTGTGGAGTTTGTAGTCATGGTGTATTTTGTTGCATTTCGGTGCAATGTTGAGTATGTTGCATTTGTCAGGGTGAAATTTCATTAACCAATCCGTCTCCCATTGTACTGCTGCGTCAAGGTCATGTTGTAGTTTTAGTGTGTCTTCTTTGTTGTTTATTGTCTTGTATATGATGTTGTCGTCTGCAATCAGTCTAAGTGTATTCATCATTTTCCAATATAAAGTATCGTATTAACCATCTGTGATATATATGAAATATGTGCTTGCTAAATCCAATATATTTTTACATGTTTTATGCTTATGATTTATGCTGATGTTATAATTTGTATTGTTCCTGCTTTTAACATGCATGTGCTATCATCAAACTGTTTTCTGATTATTTTAGTAGTATCCATCCTTTTCTATTAGCATGCCTTTTACCTTGTTATTACTCTGTTTTTATACTTCTGTTTTTATACTTATGTTTGTCGCAAAAATAGCTCCTCAGAGCTAATGTTCAATGTTATGCCATATACAACACGAAATAAAGCTTCTTGTAGACGCGATGGCGACCGAAGCACATATGGCTATATTTAGATACAACAAAAATCTGCATTGTAACCTATTAATAGATCGGGCTCTAATGTGTGGATGTTGTAAATATCACACGTGTTACAAGTGGGACATGCAGAACTTTTGAGTTCGTGTGTTGTTTTCAAGGATGCACGTGCTGGTTACTATAAAATAGTATAATATAGAATGGTATAACTATATCAGACCTGTCCATGAGCATTTTAGCGACTTCTTCGTTTTTCCACAGTCCTACAATGGCTTTCAATGTTAGCCATCTCTGCATCTGGTTGCCGATAGTGATTCGGTTTGCCCTTCTGGAAAATCGCTGGTCATTTTCCTCTGTTTTATATCGGTGCACTGTAAGCCCGTGCACAAAGATCGCCTCCGTCATTATGTGTTTTTGTCGGAAGTGATTTCAGTGGTGCCGAGGGTATTACGGAACATAACGGTGCAGACGCGAGGCGTTGTGCGCAAGCCTTAACCACGTGCAATATAGGGCCGGTTAGTGTAAGCCCCCGCAATGGGTCTCCAGTACGCATGCGCGGGAACCATGTTCATGTTTGGGGGAGTGGACACGTACGACATAAAGTCGACTCTACCGTAAAAGATTCGTTTATATGAATATCTGTCTACATATCTTAATATGTAAGAAATATGCTACGTGTTTGTTGTTGATAAACATTTTAACACATAGACACAAGTAATTTTAAGGAATTAAACAAATACATGATACTGATACAAAGCTGGGAGGTACAGCGTGTTAGTGTGTGTGTATGGGGCGGGGGGTCTTTGAACAGCTGTGTGTAGTTATTTATTGTTTAAATAAAAACAGTTTGATTCATCTTTAACATTTGTCTTACATATGATACTCACACGCATTATATTAAATATAATGACCGCGTCAGACGTGACATGATATGAGCCTTTCCAGATGTATACTTTATTTTTTATTAGTTTTCCATATTTATCTTTAAAAATCCTTGAATGGAATAAACTTTTTTTCAGCCAATTTTTATTGAATTTAGCACACTGCTACAGAATAAACCAGCGCTTTTTAAAGCATACATGCAACCATGCAGAGACGTGTATACACAAATGTACGTCTTACTGCAACCTCATTTTTTAAATTTTATCCGTTTCAAGAATTATCGACTATGATGAGTTCTGGACAGTACGACATGTATAATAAGTACATGTAAGTCCGTGACAGTATATACCTATCATAACATAATGACAGAAGAGCAAACACGTCCGTATTTGAAAACCTTTTCTTCTATCGGAAGAGTGGATGACCGAGCGACTTTTAGGACGTCATAAAGCATGCAGCGTCATACTTTGTGTTAATTTAACGACTTTCTAGATTTCACGGGCCGAATCATCCATATAATACAGGAATGCGAAAATCAATATATTAGGCATTGCTGTACACCCAGGCATCATGAGAAGCTGTTAATGTATTATACGTACGACATAAAGTCGACCCTACCGTAAAATATTCGTTTATATGCATGAATGTATGTGCTCAGTTAACTTATTGGTGACTCCAGCTAGGGTACTGATACTAGGTCTTACTTTATAACACTTAACCAGCTGTCTAACCAACATTCCAACAACTAATTACAACTAACCCTGACATGGAAAAATATGGAACATAAAGTGTAATTACAACGATGGTATCATAAAGGAGTATGGTTTGGATTTAGCCTATTAAGCTGACCATGCTACACCCCTTTCTGCTGATCACCTTGGGGATTCTCCCTCTGATCACCCTGGGGATTCTCTCTCTGATCACCCTGGGGATTCTCCCTCTGATCACCCTGGGGTTTCTCCCAATCTTCACACTGCTTTACAACCTACTCGGAGAGAAGGGAGTGTGCGTGGGGGG